CCTGTCTCCTACACTGTCGCTGTCTCTCTTGTTCCTACTGTCTTCTCTCTGTGTAGCTGTCTGCTTGGTACTATGTCTCTGGCACTGCCATTTCCTCTGTCCGCTTTCAGAGAAGAGAATCCTGCCAGTCTGACATGTCTCTGAACAACAGATGTCTCACTGCATGCGCTACACAGAGCAGCCACCAGGGGGTGGTGTGTGGCTGAGCATGTGGGCTGACTCACTCTCGTCGGGGTTGGGGGCTGCCAGGATGGCGCTGTGCTGTTTCTTCACCTGCTCCACATCCTCGGACAGCTTCTCTATACATCCGCGGATCTCCTCCACCTGCACACAGGGGGAAAACGCCAAAGTGACACAGACAGTGTGGGAGCAGCTCTCCCCAGGCCTGGCTCATCCAGGATCGCTCCTCTTCCGGAGTGGTGAATGCACAGACTCCTCCAGAACTTGACCAAACGCAGTGCACACAGAAACCACAAACCTCAGCCTGAAGGATGATTGCTCAGGGAGAGCAGGATCACAGACGTGTCCATTAAACAGTGGACTCGCATTACAGGACCTGCTGTCTCTTTAACAGACATGTGCTGGCGATGCAGAACAGTGGGATTATTGATTTCATAGCCACGTTCTTGGCATAACACAAAGCACAAAAGAGATGAGGCTCAAGCACAGTAGTACCCACTATAGCTTAGTCTTGCTCTTATCACAGGTCCTGAATATACAGACATAATTGCAGATAGCGCAGTGTCCCCTGTCACCATACTGGGATATAGTTCTTTAGGAACGTCTGCCTCACTCAAACACACACAACACACAAGCTGACATACTAACAGTTACACACAAATGGACACTCGCACAAAAAAAAACTGACACACACTTACACATAGACAAATTTACACTCTCATTAACCAATTGGTAGTTAGTAGCAGATTGATCCCAGGATATTGTCTTCAAACACATGGCTGGGCAGCTTGTTCCACACCCCCGCCACCCTCTGTGTAAAGTAGAGCCTCCTGTCCTGACTGGAGAATCTCATCCAGCTTTTTGTTGAAAGAAGTGAGGGTATAGGCTTCAACGCTATGACTGTGCAGCTTGTTCCACACTCCCACCACCCTCTGCGTAAATATAGTTTCCACTCATGTGGTGTGTTCCACTGTTTAGACAAAAGCACTGGCACAATGTAGCTTCTGCCAGCCACAGTCAGCAGAGCTCTGCAGCCCCTGTACACAGACAGGGCGAGATGTGGAAAGCGGAACAGAGACTTCAGGCAGAATTGTTTCTCCTAATGAAGTCCCTTAACATCATTACCGCCAACCAGAGCCATTCATTAAGCTCATTCAAATAGCCTATTAGAGAGACTGGCAGAGTCAGGTTCTCCCCTCTACAATCCATTACTGCGGCCACTGCCCGGCCACTATATTAGGGACGCCCTTCCTCTCAGCAGTGATGGGCATGATTGATTGAGTCGGATGAAGATCTCATTAAGATTGGAGGATGAAGTCAAAATCCCATAATTGTCAGGTCTGTGTCAGTTGCTAATTGAAAAATACCTATAGAGCTCTGTCCCTGAGGGACTGGAGTTGGCTCTCCCCTGATACACACAGCCCGCACAGGGAGAAAAGACAGAGAACAAGAGAGACGTCTACCCAGACAGAAACACTGCCCTCCAAGAGCAGATCCGAGCGTTCGGATCTTCCTGCTGGAAAAAATATCCAAGCTGGCAAAATTCTGCCTGGGACCATTTATGGTGTTCGGAGTGGAAAACCCAGATCCGCAGGGAAGGGTCAAAACTATTCAAGCGACAGAAAGCTCTGCCTTGTTCATTGCTGTAAAGACCCGTGACAACAGTGACCTCCTAATTCGGATTTGTGCTGGTCGATTCACCAGAGCCCATCAGTCAGGCACAGGTGGGCACTTTGTAAACTCATTTGAAGTGGGACTCATGAAAAGGCGGCAGATGTTTTAGCTTGGACTTCTGCGATCCCCCTCGAAGCACAGACTCCCAAAAAACGTTTCGCTTAAGGTCGCCACCTCTGCAGCTAAGCGGTAATTGCTCTTTTTGCTTTTTCAGGTACTGTAGATTTCCAGGTCCCCAGGAAATCTGCATGACTTTCCCGGACATTCAATTGGATGATGTTTTTCAGATCCCTGCGACTGTGTTTAGTGTGACAGTAATGGCTTCTAATGCTTCCAGTCAGGTAGTTATTCTGATACCCATAAGGCCTCACAAGCTCATTTGGGAGGACACTCCCGCCCTCATCAGCATACAAAACCAACTCTTGCAAGTGATTGGCTGTTAAATAGCTTCTGTCCATATTAATAATAATAATAATTGCTTACACTTCTATAGCGCTTTTCTGGACACTCCACTCAAAGCGCTTTACAGGTAATGGGGATCCCCTCCACCACCACCAGTGTGCAGCCCCACCCGGATGATGCGACGGCAGCCATAGTGCGCCAGAACGCTCCCCACACACCGGGTATCAGTGGGGAGGAGAGCAGAGTGATGAAGCCAATTCATATGGGGGGATTATTAGGAGGCCATGACTGGTAAAGGCCAATGGGAAATTTGGCCAGGACGCCGGGGTTACACCCCTACTCATTTCAAGAAATGCCCAGGGATTTTTAATGACCACAGAGAGTCAGGACTTCGGTTTTACATCTCATCTGAAGGACGGCGCCTGTTTAGAGTACAGTGTCCCCGTCACTATACTGGGGCATTAGAACCCACACAGACCACAAGGTGAGCGCCCCCTGCTGGCCCCACTAACACCTCTTCCAGCAGCAGCCTTAGTCTCCCATCCAGGTACTGACCAGGCTCACACCTGCTGAGCTCCAGTGGGCTGACAGTGTGGCTTAACACCCGTTAACGCTTGTGTGAAGTAAACATGACTTCATTCTGGCTAATCCCACACTGAGAATGATACAGAGGACAGGACTGTTTCCAGTGTTGCCGAGTCCTCCTTTATTACACCCGTGCTGTGTTACGAATGCTCAAATCCCCCTTCTCTGGTCACGAATAGCCACCAGGAAACGCCCTGACGGACTACCTATTTTCCCCAGGCAGAAGATGTGAAGGGTGGCACAGTGGCACAGGGGTGAGCGTTGTTGCCTTGCAGCACCGGGGCCCTGGGGTGCTGTCTGTGTGGCGTTAGCATGTCCTAGAACTTCGCATGGGTTTCCTCCCCCAGTCCACAGATGTGCTGGAAGGACTGGCCCTGGTGTGAGAGTGCGTGTGTCTGTGTGTGCTCTGCAACGCACTGGCATCCCTTCCAGAGTGGATCCTGCCTTGCGCCCACTGCTTGCTGGGATAGACTCCCTGAACCGCATGAAGCGATAAGAACGTGGGCGGAGGGCACTGCCGCCCTTGTGTGTCCCACCTGTGCGCAGGACCCGTGTCATGACACCTCGGCCCTGGAGGGCGTGCCAAGCAGGCAGAAAATGGGTGAAATCACACTTCAGAACAGCCAGAAACAGTCACAGGTGACAAGGCATAGGAGACGTGTTCCTTGCACAAAGAGTAGCGGGTGTCTGGAGCAAATTCCCCAGCTATGCGGTGGAAGCAGACTCTCGGGGAAACAGCTGCTTCCGGTTCTGGAGGTCTGATGTCATAACACTGCTGGTTTTTCCACGTGCTTGCACGGCCGCACGAGGAGACTGTGAGCTCTGGAAATGAAGGAACGGGGACTGTCCTCAGCATCTCTGCCACTCCAGCGAGGTCTTACCTGCTCGAAGAACTCATCCATGAAGTGATCGCGGTCCACCTGGACGACTTCCTCATCATCATCGCTGTCCTTAGCCTGTGACAGAGAGGGAGGAGAGGGAGAGGAGGAAGGAGAGAGGGAGGAGAGGAGAGAGAGAGAGAAAGGAGAGAAAGGAGGAAGGAGAGAGAAGAGGGGAGAGAGGGAGAGGAGGAGGGAGGAGAGGGGAGAGGGGAGAGGGGAGAGAAAGAGAGACAGGTGGGGTTAATACAGGTCTTGGCCCTACAGCAGTAGGGTACTGGGACAGACATTGGGCTCACACACAGACACACGGAGGATGGCCTGCCTCTCCCCGGCAGAGAGGACGCTGGGCACAGACATTGACTGCCCATCCGATGCGGCTCCGGGTGCACCCTGACAGCCAGAGAGTGTTGAGTTGGAGGTAGTCTGTAACCACGGTTCCCAGCCTCCCAGACCCACCGTCTCGGGTCTGTAAGCTGAACCACAGCCTGGAGCTCAACAAGGAGACCACAGCCGAGACAGAGAACACAGAGTTGAGGGCAGAAACTGGGAAGCGCTTTTTCACACTCAGTCATGGGTGGTTGGAAAACCGCCCTAGGGCCTGTCATGGAAGCCCGTTCACTGGTTTCACAAGGTCTTTTGAATCAACAAGCTAAAAAGCGATCAAATGTCACTGTGTGTCTGTCTCTCTCCCTCTTCGTGTGTGCCTCTGTTTCACTTAGTGTGGTGGTCTTTGAAAAACCCTGAATTTGTGTTATGTTTATGCTTCTGTCAGTATCTCTGTGCTTTCTGTACATCTGTTTCTCTGCCTCTGTCTGTCAGTCTGTTCTGTACATGTGTCTCTGCCTCTGTGTGTGTGTGTCTGTGGTCTGTACATGTGTCTCTGCCTCTGTGTGTGTGTGTGTGTGTGTGTGTGTGTTTGCTCTGTACATCTGTCTCTCTCCCAGCCTCACTGTGTTTCTATGCTGTTTGTACATCTCTCTCTCTCTGCCTCCATCAGTTCTTGATCTCTCTCTCTCTGCCTCCATCAGGTCTTACATCTCTCTCTCTCTCTCTTTCTCTCTCTGCCTCCATCAGTTCTTACATCTCTCTCTCTCTCTCTGCCTCCACCAGTTCTTGATCTCTCTGTGTTGGTTGCCCTGGCCAAGGTCACAGTACAGCTCATGACTTCAGCACAGCATGAGATCATATTACAGCCACTCCAGTCTGCCTCAGAGCACACACACAAACACACAGAACAGCACAATCGCACATGGACGGACAAGTCGTTCTAATCTTGTGTGGGAAGTAAACATTACTTAACATTAGAGCTGCCTTTACTGTGAGGTCAGAAAACTACATAATTAAGTATATTTTGCAACACAGATACATATCTGTGAAAATACAGACAATATATATAATTTATTCAAAAATACAGTATGTAAGCACACAAATACAGACACGTCACTATATTGCGTGTTACATTCTTGTACACCATTCCTAACGTCAGACTGTCTTGTACTGATAGGGTACTTGGAAGAGTATTCCGGACAAGAATGTGACCTGATTCTCGAGAGCAGAAGACGAGACAAGAGAAAGCCATTCAGCCTATCCAGCCTGTTCAGTTGTTCATAGTTAATTGATCCCAGCATCTCATCCAGCTGTTTCTTGGCTGGGCAACTTGTTCCACCCTCCCACCACCCTTTGTGTAAAGCAGTGCCTGTTCCCGGTTGTAAATAGACCTCCCTGCAGTATCCGATAGTGCCTTCTGGTTAATGGTTCATACAGTATATGCATCTAGGCATACAGTGTCTTATCCAATATCTTTTGTCCAGTTATTAGAGAACTCCAAATAGGAGTTATGCAGTGTATGAATTTTGAACCACAAGAAGAGCAAACGTCTGATTTTTTTTTAAAGTGTGATGTCTCTGTTTGCTCGTGCTGCATGGCACAGAGATTCTTCTCTTTTCAGATAACATCTGTGTCCATGAGATTCACGAGACAGTTCTGAAAAAACTTTGTAGAGAGGATGGTAGAATGACCTTCGAGATGTACAGATTTCTTATCTTAATCTATGTGCACAGTGCAGGGCCTGACACAGACGCACTGACCTTACACCATGTGACCAGCTGCACCTGCTCCCTGTAATCCCGGCTCCTGCCTCTCTGACTAACAGATATCAGGCACTGACTCACAGCA